CAGACAATTAATATCAGATAAAAGAAGATTAATATTTTATCACAGAAATGAAATTAATTGTAACAAAAAATAAATAGGGTTAGAAAAACGGAATGATGGTCGAGGCGTGCAAGGCTGCACTGTCCTAAGAATCTAATTGCCCTCTCTCGTACAGGGCTACACGGAAAAAGTTCTCGGAGATACAACGACCCTCGGTCAGGTGACCTCCTTCGGCACGAGTTTCAAGAAGGCTTTGTGAATTCTTCTTGACTTTCAGGGAACCAACAAAATGTAGTAGTAAGAAAACGAAGGGCAAGAACAGAGAAGATGTTGTGATTTGCACTGTTTTGAAATTGTGTTTTTAGCCTTCGCAACTTTTTGTTTTTATAGAGGTTAAGGATGATCCACATTAATCACGTTTTAATTGTTCTAATTTGCAAAAAAATAAAAAAATTAAAATGTAGCGGATTAAGATCCCCTCACTCCGGAGCTGCATTCGTATCCGCAGGTCGTGGGCGCGCTGTTGGCCCTATAGTTTTGATGATGATTTGTCAAACAATTTATAACTAATATGTTTTCTAGTTTCCGTTGTTTGATTTTTCTCTTTTCAGGTAATTCAACACACGACAATCAAGAGTTAAAGATTCAAGTTCATGTGTATGCATTCACCTAGGTATAAGAATAGTTTGCTTACATATATTGTATGTTTATATTTAAGCTCAATATGTAAACACAACATAGTTTTGACATTTTCTATCATATAAATGATTTTTCATCAAACTTTGTTACAATAGTTTTTATTTCATGTTTACAGCTCATTCATACTTCATTATATATATATAATGAATGCATGTTATATATATACAAGTTTACAAGTTATATTTCAATTTTCATGTTCGCGAAAAACAGGTTTTATGAACACTTTTCAAAAACAGTGGGTTTTCACAAACGAAAATTGCTTTTCCAAAAATTCATTCTCAAACATGTTTATTTTATCAATTAGAAACTTTTCCCAAAGTTTTACTATTTTTGGAATTGATTTGATATTTTTAACGTATTTTTGAAATCAACCCAAAAGCTGTATATTGTCATGTATCAGTTTGTGGTCGACCGCCACGGTCGACCGTCAGCAGTTAATTTTCTTAGTATGGCTTTTATTTGTTCACGGTGGATCGTGATGGTCGACATTGGCTCCATCCAGAGACTTTCGTGGTCGACCGTCGCGGTCGACCGCCAGCTTTTAAATTTCCTTTTTAGTATTTTTGTGCTTCGTCGCGGTCGACCGCCAGCTTTTAAATTTCCTTTTTAGTATTTTTGTGCTTCGCGGTCGACCGCGAGATTTCCATGGTCGACCGTCGAACTCATCATTGCTTTCTCAATGACTATATTCTGATTTGATTCTCTGGGGCTATTTTGATCTTTTCAAGTTGGTTTTGGCTGATATTTTGAGTGGGTATAAATACCCCATTGCTCCTCTTTCATATACCAAGTTTTGTTTTTATAGTGAAGTTTTAACAAAAGTTTAAGTATGTTTAAAGAGCTGTTTAAGCTGATTCTGATTATCTGTTTCAAAAGAAGTTTTCTACAACAAGAAGAGGCCTTCAATCCAACTGAGGATCTTATCCTCATCATCCTCTACTGTTCTTCTTATTTATTGAGAAGTTTTCCTAACTCATCTTTTCATATAGCTTATAATTTCATTTTCATATCTTAGCTATATTTATTAAGTTACATATTTTCATTCACTGTTATCACACATACTGTATTGAGCTTAATATTCCATACTATATATTATGGGTAGTGGTGTGTGATTTAGTGAGTGTGTGAGCTTCATTGTGTTCTTATTTGTTGTCGAGAACAAATCATTGTATTTAATCATTGTTGTAAGAATCACTTTGTAATACACTTGTACACCGAGAGAAGTGTGTGGCGAGAGTCGGGGATCGTCCTAAGAGGAGTGGCGTCGGTTGACGAACCTAGGGAGAGGTTGTATCCGAGCACTTGAGGGAGACACATCCAGTTCAACACTTGAGAGGGTGTAGAGTGGGATTGCAAGAGTGTTTATTGTAGAGTTTTCGGTAAACTAGAAAATCGTAGTGTGAGGTGTAAACGTTATTCGGATAAACGTAGAAAACCCGGTTGTGATAGTGGAGATCTCCTCGAGGTAAGGAGCGGGGACGTAGGTCGTGGTGACCGAACCTCGTAAACATATCGTGTGTTTGTGTTTTACTTAGCGTATATTTTATTTGTGGCTATTCATATCATTCTTGCTCATATCTATCTCATATCATTCTTGCAAGAACAAATTAATCAATATAATTTTAATTGGAATTTAATCGGGATTAGATTAGCATAAGACCCTAATCACCCCCCCCCTCTAGGATCTAACACACGCGCCACCCGACCCAACCCCGAGCCCGGCCGGCGCGCGCGTGTGTGGTGTGGAGCATAACCTTTATTTTGTTCTAGGCATAAGAGAGAAGGGAAATGCTTATAAACATCCTTCCTTCCTATTCCATTTTCTATATGTGACTAAACTTTCCTACTACAATATCAAGTTTTAAGTTACACTTATTATAACTCCAACATGACTTATAGCCACTTGTTACTTGAGTCACATATTGCAGTTGAGGAGGTTGCAATCTCAATTTGTAAGTTACAACAGTACAACTATTTTGTTACAACGGTCAACCTTTGTAATTGTTTAACGTATCAATTGTGACTTATAGCATTTTTACTTACGTTACACCTCGCGGCTGAGGAGGTTGCAATTTCAATTTATAGGTTACAACGAAACAAATATTATGCAGCAACAATTAAGAGTTAATTGTTCTGTTAAGAATAGAGACAAGAGACTTTTGAGAAGAAAGAGATTTATTTTATTCATTGTATTGAACTGTTTAAATACAAGAGTAAGAGGAGAGGTTCTAGAATCCTGATCGATGGGGGACTAAAACAACATATACCCTAATACTATTATATCTAGCATAAGTATTATATATATATACATAGAGAGATTAATGGGTATCCTTGTTATAAGAGAGGATTTCCTTCTTGACGCCTCTAAAATCACATGATCGAGTGACATTATGGATGATCCGCTCTGTTGAACTTGATCTACATATTCTAAAACCCCAACACACCAAGTTTGGGGTGAATCCGTCGTCGTTTGACTCTCCATCGAGCCATGTGAAAAGTTCTATTCATTCAAAACCGTTAAAATTGATACGAGTGGATGATAAGTTACAAATTACAGCTTCATAGATTGCAATTTCAATTTATAAGTTATAAAGAAACAAATGTTTTACAAAAACAGTTAAAAGTCATAATTGTCTAACATTATACGTGTGAGTTATAGCAATTTTTTTTCACTTAAGTCACACAATATAAATGAGGAAGTAACAAGTCCACTTTGTCAATTACAATGGAAAATGAATATTTACAACAATAAAAATTAATCTAATTAGACGTAACTAATCAAACACATCAGATTACCATCTACTTGTCTTTCCCCTCACTTCGTAATAGAGGAAAAAAAAAATATCAAGTGAATCTCGACGGGTGACATTAAATATATACTAAAAGATTATTAAACTCTTAGATCATTGAATTTTAAGATTCATGTACACGTATTCAATTGTTAATATTTTTTTATGCACATTTTTTTTTTCGGACAAATTTTCAAAACCGCCCCTTTTAGGATTTTATTTGCAAAAACCGACCCCTTTTGAAATTAATTACAAAAACCGACCTGTTTTCAGCCCAGCGCTGAAAACATGTCGGTTTTTATAAAAAGTTCTCCGAAACATCACGGGAGTTGAACTCCCGTGAAGTTTAGCAGATTTTTAAACTTCACGGGAGTTCAACTCCCGTGAAGTCTAATTTCTTCTAAAACTTCACGGGAGTTCAACTCCCGTGAAGTTTCGATTCCAACTCTCTCCTTCTCTCTTCGTTCTGTTTCTAGGAGTCAGCATCGTCTCTTTGTGCTTTGGGAAGGTGAGATGAGAATCCAGATTCCTCATTAATTAATTCTTCTCTCTTCGTTCTGTTTCTCGGAGCAGCAGCGTCTCTTTGTGCTTTGGGAAGGTGAGATGAGAATCCATATTTTTCATTAATTAATTGACTCGTGATTTATGATTATTCTCCGTAGATTCAATTTAATTATTTTGGTGAGGAATTAAAGATGAAATTTTTAGGGTTTGTAAACTGTAACTTGGATCTGGAGAAAGAGCGAAGAGAAATAATTGTTTGGGACTTTGATCGGGCCTATCATTTGGAGAAAGAGCGAAGACAAACATCACCATCGTGATCGGCGACCGAGAGATGAAGATCGCCATTGTGAAAGCGCTGAATTTGATGATTCGGATCAAGAGATTGAGATTTCCGCCATTAATGCACTGAAGAAGTTTGGATCGGTGGAAAAATAATCAAAATATAACCCACTTTAAAATGAATACTATAGAGAATTTAGAAACGGCGCTGGGTTTGTTGAATTAATAATACTTCACGAGAGTTCATCTCCCGTGAAGTTTTTAGAAGAAATTAGACTTCACGGGAGTTGAACTCCCGTGAATCAACTCCCGTGAAGTTTAAAAATCTGCTAAACTTCACGGGAGTTCAACTCCCGTGATGTTTCGGAGAACTTTTTACAAAAACCGACCTGTTTTCAGCGCTGGGCTGAAAACAGGTCGGTTTTTGTAATTAATTTCAAAAAGGGTCGGTTTTTGCAAATAAAATCCTAAAAGGGGCGGTTTTGAAAATTTGTCCTTTTTTTTCTGATGGACCATATCCGGTTCGTGCAGTGAGGAACTTTTGTGTGATTTTGTTCCGACCAACAAAGCAACCACTGGGTCACAACGTGGTCACGTTCGTTAACGTCCATAAACCAAAGAAGACATTTACTCCCCTCTTTAAAAGCTTGGAAAACCCCCAAATCCTACTACTCATTTCACTCCCGGACACCACGAAAATCATGGACTTCCCCTTCGCGCCACCTACCACCAACATCACCCCCACAGCCGACCCGAAGATGAAGACCGAACCGAACCCAACCCGTACCCGAACCGAATCCCTACGCCGATCCGAACCCGTACCCCCGCCAGCTCACGACCCCTACGGCTACCAGCCCCCTCCGCCCCTCCCCAGCCGTTCTACGGCGGATCTCACGCTGCAGCACGTGAGCCACGAGTACGGGCGCCGGATAACTACGCCCTCCTCCTCCTCGCCGCACGTGCAGCACGTGAGCCACGAGGTGGGCCGGCCGGCGGCTACGGAGGCGGGTACGGGTACGAGAACCAGGTGCCTCAGCGTCATACATGAGCATTCGCCCGGGGTTCTTCCCCCCGCCGGTGGTGGAGCACGTGAGTCACGTGAGCCACGAGAGCGGGATGGGGGAGGTGACACGTCAGCCGACGGTGAGGGTTTTCACCAAGGCCGCGGAGGACTACTCGCTGTCGATCAGGGAGGGGAAAGTTGTGCTCGTGCCCGCTGATCCCAGAGATGAGTATCAGGTTGATTTTTGATCCTTTTGTGTTCAATTTCTTGAGGGAATTTTTGGGTTTGAAGCAAAATTGGATCTTTTGAATTGGGTAGCTTTTTGTGTTTAATTTTTTTTTTTTGGGAATTGTTCGGTCTTAATCAAAATTGGATCTTTCGGCTTGGGTTTACTAATTTTTGCCACCAAGGTGGACCTTTTTTAGATTAATGATTCAAGTTCCCTTCTTTAATTTCAGCACTGGATCAAAGATTTGAAGTACAGCACAAGAGTGAAGGATGAAGAGGGTTGCCCGTCCTTTTCACTTATAAACAAAGTCACTGGAGAGGCTATCAAGCACTCAGTTGGAGCAACTCATCCTGTAAGTTAACCTTACAACAACCCTATTTTGATGTAACAATAACATCGAGTTTCGGATTAGGTTGTGATTTTGTTGAAAAGGTCTCAGAGCTCATCGCCTAACGCTATCTGCACACTAATCTCCTGGTTCAGTCCCTACTGATGGCATCAGTTTGAGTTCTACTTCTGTTCGAGTTTCTATTAGCCAATGTTGATATTCTAATCAATTATTAGCCAATATTGGTAGTCATTAGTAGCTAACATAGATAGTGTCAGTCTGCTTTGACTTGATTTAATCATCATGGTTAACTTCCTATACGACATAATCAATGTGTGTTGGTAGCGATCAGTGCTTTGTGCAAGTTGTATGGATTTGTAATTTGTAACCTATCTTCATGGAGACCAACATGTTTTAGGCAGGCCATTTCAAGTTTGAATATGCTTCAGACATTTGGAGAAAAATTGAAACATGTCTTAAACTGGGGTCATATATGGGTCAAGACTTCTCGTAATCTAAATTTGGACATAAAAACTAACTCTATGTTGTTATACCCTTGTTTCCCGGTTATAGACTTTGGATAATCATTTCCAGTCACTCTTCATTGTACCCCAATGCTTGTTTTATCTTCTCTCGCTTTTCTATTGTGTATGAAATTCGTAAGATATTTAAAGTGGTCAGCAGTGGTCCCAATGAAGATGGGTTATTCCTGTTTTGAAACTTCAGTTTTGATACTAAATTCAAGTAGGTACTGTAGTGGAGTCCTTGTTATCTTGAAGTTTGGTTTTAAGATATGCATTTGCATGTAATTACACATTTGTGCACGGATTTAATTTTTTGAGCGTCTGAATAATTTCTAAGGCCTGGAATTTGATAGTCATAATAATTAATATACACATCCATCCATCTAAAATATAAATATAAATTTGGTTCATGCTAAAGTATCCAAAATATCTAAATAGATATATGAATATACAAATACACAACATGCATGAGTTTATGAATATACAAAACCATGCGTGATTCCTTACAGATCAAAGTGTTTACTATTTAGTTTTAAGTAGTGCAATAGAAATAATAATTTATGCAACGACCCATACTTTAAAGTTGAATGCTGGATTCATTTTTCTTCCAAACTTCAGCATATTCCACAATATCCTGAAAATATCCATACACAATCCTGGGTGGGATTCATTTTTGTTTATCGAATATGATGGTGGGCTACCTTTCTCCATGATATTCATATTCATGTGATTGCAAGTAAGAAAACCTATAGAAATGCAGTCATACCATTGTCCGCTTCATTTTGTGGTATAAGCATTAGTTTGAAACAGTGTTTTTGTAATTATTTGTACAGAAAAGAGCATGGGTAGAATTAATGTCAAACTTTACAGGATAAAATATAACCTTACTGTTTCAGGATAAGATATGAGCCTTTTATACTAACAGTCTGCTGCTGATGTCAGCAAACATGAGTTTAGCGTCAAAAGAAATTATGCTATGTAGAGTTAGGCTTACGATACTTATTGTTATTATATTCGAGTGTCTTAGAAAACATGGATTTATGGGCAGCATCAATAGATTAGCATCCAATGTATTCAGTAAGAAATTTACTATCTATTATGCTACGAAGTTGATAGTAACTTAATCACTTGTACATTTTCATAAAAGGTGGTATAAAAATGCTCCGGAGTATGGGGTAAGGATGCAATCTCACCTGATGGAAGCACGGCAATGCTAGAAGTATGAATTTTCCTATCTATTTAGGAGCATGGTGCTTGTTAGATATCATATCATTCATTGAAGAAGCAAAATTATTCCAAGCCTGTCATTTATTAAAGGCAGAGAAAATACATTTCGTCTATTTAGAAATCAGTTGCAAGCTATCGGCGCAATTAAAAGATATATACTAGAGGAAATAACTGCAATATTAAGATAGTAGCATCACATGTTATAACTAGGTAAGCACGTTTTTGATATTTAACTCCATTACTTGGGTTTCTCGGGATGCTCGAGCCAAGTCGAACTCAAGTTAGATAACTATATACAAAGAGCTGCAAACATTGCAGTCTACTCTCCCAAAAACTGCATTGGTTGTTCTATAGATAAAGACCAAAATAATATTCTTATGGAGTAAAAAAGAAAAAAGCTTTTATCAACACAATATTGATTTCAGAATCCTGTCAAATATCTGCATGTTTATGTTACACGGGCCCCTCCTACTTTTTGAAAGGATCTGAATCACACATGTTTTTCCTTGTGTGAGTCCTCCTCGTTTATTGAAAGTTGACTAGTTGACTATTGCATAATTATGTTGAAACAAGCATGGGTATCTTGAAACATATCTTTCAAGATTTTAAAGCTCTACACTCCCATAGCCATATCGAACTCAAGTTGCTATTATTTAGCTTGAGTGTTATACACAATTCTGTAGGGAGGTGCTAAGGCGAGGATATTCATTTTGACATGATTAATGATTCGTAAGTTATGACGTTGTTGACCCACAGGGTGGAAGTAGCTAAATTTATATATGTTTGCACTTTGATGATGAAAGTTCATGTGCTGATGCAGTGCATCACACACTACTGAGCAATGCTGGAGTAACAGACAATAAGTAGAAATTTGCATGCCCAATCTCCTTCCCTCTAGTTAATTAATATAATACGTATACTATTGTATCCACTGTGGACATCATTCTATGAAGTTTTGTACTCCTGATTTAGTAATGATATATAATCTTTGTGAGGTCTAAAAGTATTTTGTCGAACACATACGTACTCTGTGCTAAACTTTCGGATTGTTACCGTAATGTTCCAAATGTCAACCCCTTTTCCTAGTTAGTCACTTTGAGCTAGTGACCTAATTCCTAATATTCTTTTATTATCCCATATAAAATTCCATTTTTCTTCAAAAGTAAGACACTGTTTAAGAAATTAGGAAATCCAGGAAGTAACCCACCACGTTTCTTTCCAAATAGTGAGTAAATTATTTATCAAAGATATTTTTTGGAGGGAACTTCTGATCAATTGTAAAACATCGATCAAGACAATTTTAACACATCGAAAAGGAAGTTCTATAGATTTTCATGAATTTTAGTTGACTTCTGATAGACAGATGAATTTTCTGCTTGATAATATCATTAGGTTTTCTTATAAGGATCACCGCTATGGTGGCTACCATGTGACCTGAAGGTCAAGAGTTCGAGTCTTGAAACAGTCTATTGTCTTGGCATGCCAGTGCAAGGCTGCTTACATCTGACCATTTCTAGAGCCCACAATGATGGGAGCCTCGTGCGCTTGGCTGCCCTTTAGAGATAAGAATATCATAGATTTTTACTGCAGAGGGAACTTTTCAACTAGATAATAAATTTTGTTGGATTTTGTGTAGGTTCGATTGGTTCCGTACAATCCAGATTATCTCGATGAATCAATACTGTGGGCAGAGAGCAAAGATACGGGTGAAAACTTCCGCTGCATTAGGATGGTAAACAATATAAGTTTGAATTTTGATGCATTTCATGGAGACGAGGATCATGGTGGAGTTCATGACGGAACCATCATTGTCCTTTGGGAATGGCTCAAGGGAAAGAATCAGAGGTGGAAGATCGTCCCCTACTGTAAGTTGTTCTGTTTCCTTATACAAATTAGGTTGTAGCCTTGCTTTTGTTTACTTATTCATCTTCTCATGTTCTTTTGATCTCTCATGCAGGATGAAGGGGAGTTATATCGCTTGTGAACTATGTTGTTGCCAGTTGGCCGAAGAATAAATTCGTGATTGTGAGTATGTGCATCCGTATGGCATATATTGTTGAAGGTTTGTATAATTGATGCACTATAAGCTTGCAAACTGGTTGTACTACTTGTATGTGTGTTGTGATTATGTATTGGACTTTTGAAGACATAATAATGCTCTTTTTCCTGTTTTCTTCTCCTCCTTTTTTGTCGATGTCGTGGGGCTGCTGAAGGAAGTGGAAAGCGTCGCGAAGTTTAATTGAAAATTGAGATTGATATCTAATAAATTAACCTTTTTGGGTTAGTTCAATATTCAATCTCTGTTATCATCCCGAGTGTAATAATGTTTATTTGTTTCTAGTGTTAAATGTACTCTTGCTTGTGTGCAGAGATTATTGCAAGCAAGATAAAAGGTTATCTCCCCAACCTCATCTCTCAACAGCAAAGTGCTTTTGTCTCCCAGGGAGACACATTTCTGATAACATTAATGCCTCAGAGACCCAAAAAGGGGACCTAAGGCATGAGACATGTGAGGTGTTATCATCCGGTTGGATGATGTACTGTTCATGAACAGTACATCATGCAACCGGATGGTAACACCTCACCTGTCCCATGCCTTGGGTCCCCTATTTGGGTCCTTGTAGCAACACCCTTCTGATGATTACGGAGTTGTTGAACTTCTTCATTCCATGCCAAGTAAAAGACGAAAAACTCCTTTTTCACCCTTAGCGTTGAATACGGCGAAGGCATATGATAGACTGTAGTGGCCGTACCTCTTGGAGATGCTTAGAAGGTTCGGTTTTGATGACCGAGTCTGCCTCTCTTATTAATGCTTGCATTTCTTTGACTACAATCTCTGTAAATATGAATGGCGATAGAGAAGGCTTCTTTAAGCCATCCAAAGGCCTCAGGCAAGGGTGTCCCCTCTCTTCATGAGAAGGCTTCTTTAAGCCATCCAAAGGCCTCAGGCAAGGGTGCCCCCTCTCTTCATATCATTGTATCCTCACTGCAAAATGACTCTCTTCTCTTATATTGCAAAGAAATTAGGATGGGCTCTACCAGGGCATGAAGATTAATAGGAAAGAGCTAATAATCTCCCACATTATGTTTGCCGATGATCTTATCTTATTTGGTGAAGCAACTCATGAGATGATGGGCGCATTCTTTCTGAATATGCTTCATGGTCGGGCCAAGTCAAAAACTTTGCCAAGTCGAGCATCATTTTCAACTCATGCCTCTCTCTTGACTTACAAAAGCAATTAGCTGATATTTTGGGAGTATCACAAATGATTTCCTTTATATCAAAGAAGATTACAAAGCTTGTATAAGAGTAAATCTCAACTTGAGATTTTTCAAAAGAATCAACAGAAAAAAAACAATCTGTTGTTCAAATAAAGGCGCGAGTTTTCCTACAAGAAAAACTTCTCTCTCAATAAATGCTACAGGAATCTCTGATTAAATGAACGAATTTTTCCTCTGAAAAACTCGTGCTCAATTAACGGCCGCCACCAGAGAATATCGCTGAGAAGAAGAAAAGAAGCGGCTGCATCTTCTTATCTCGTGCTCATGGGTTTAAATACGAAAACCCTAGCCAGACAGCTAGGTCCAACTGTCTTCCAACATCGCAGGCGAACAAAAGGGGAAGAGGCGATCTTCGATTTCGCCTGGGAGAGTCGCCAACGAAATTCGCCTGCGCCTAATGCCTTTGAGCTCGCCTACAAGCTCTTCTCGCTCGAGCTCGTCAACTGGAGTCGCCTGCAACTAGACTCCGCCTGCAACCCTCAAATCCGCCTGCTCGAGTTCCGCGACATCGCCTTCTCCAACTTAGCTTCTCCTAAAGCCGTCGATTCGCCTTCAAGAGGATCTAGCCAGCGGGGCATCTCCGAACTCGCCAGTAGCCCTGCTCGAGCTCGCCTCCGCTGTCCATCCTCGCCGGAGGTCGCTGCGTTGGCCACTGATAAGGTAAGGGTCTACACCCATTACCAACAATCTCCCACTTGGAGACCATACCGTCATCAGCAGGCTTTCTCTTAACAAGCATCTTCTTCTGTGTGGCTCCGCCCCCATCTCTTACATATGAAGGCCAACTGAAGTTGCGCACAACTCCAGTTTCTGAATGGTGACTGCTTTAGTCAACATATCTGTAGGATTTTGGCTCCCCAAAATTTTCTCTAACTGTAACTTCCTGTCCTCAATCATCGAGCGTATGAAATGGTAACGTAACTTGATGTGCTTTGTTCTGGCATGAAACACTGGGTTCTTGGCAAGGTGTATAGCACTCTGGCTATCACAATAAAGAACTTCGTTCCCCCGCTTCAGACCTAATTCATCCAGGCACCCTGTTAACCAAATCATCTCCTTGCTCGCCTCTGTCACTGCGACATACTCTGCCTCAGTTGTGGACAACGTCACAATCTTCTGCAAACGTGAGACCCAGCTCATTGATGTCGACCCTAAGGTATAAACATACCCCGTGGTGCTTCGCCTCGTATCATGATCACCGGCAAAATCTGCCCCTAAGGTATAAACATACCCCGTGGTGCTTCGCCTCGTATCATGATCACCGGCAAAATCTGCATCCACATATCCCTACAGTACCAACTCTTTTCTCCCGAAACACAGTGGCATATTCGTAGTCCCTCTCAGATATCGCAATATCCACTTCACGGCCTCCCAATGCTATTTCCCTGGGTTGCTTGCAAACCTGCTCACAACTCCCACTGCATGGGCAATATCCGGTCTCGTGTAAACCATTGCGTACATCAGACTACCAATGGCTGATGAATACGACACCTTCCTCATGTGCTCCTTTTCTGCATCAGTCTTGGGTGATTGTTCACCAGACAACTTGAACTGTCTTCCAAGGGGCGTGCTAACGACCTTAGCATTCTGCATGTTGAATCTCTTAAGTACTTTCTCAATGTATTCAGACTGACTCAACTTCAATGTCCCCTCAGCCGTATCTCGGCTGATCCACATCCCAAGAATCTGCTTCGCTGCACCCAGACCCTTCATGGAAAATTCTTTTGCTAACTTCTTCTTCAGTTTGTTTATCTCCTGTAAACACGGTCCTGCAACTAACATGTCATCAACATACAGTAATAACACGATATAGCTGGTCCCGAACCTCTTGAAGTAACAACAATGATCTGAATTGCATCTGCCATAGCCATTGCTCTGCATGAAGTTATCAAACTTCTTATACCACTGCCGTGGAGCCTGTTTCAATCCGTATAAGCTCTTCTTGAGCCTACACACCATCTCTTCCTTTCATTCTTCAATGAAGTCAACGGGTTGCTTCATGTAGATTTCTTCATCCAAGTCGTCATGAAGAAAGGCAGTCTTCACATCTAACTGCTCAAGGTAGAGATTTTTAGCAGCTACCAAGCTCAACACCACCCTGATGGTTGTGAGCTTCACAACGGGGGAAAATATCTCCGTATAATCCACTCCTTCCTGTTGGTCTTCTTGTTTTGATGATGTTTAACAAACAATTTACAACTAATGTTGTTTGTCTAGTGTTTGTGTTATCTATTCATTGTAGATAAACAACTTGTTGGAGGATGGATGGAATAGAGCTTCAACGATGATATCCAATGGAGGTTGGCGGAATAGTGGTTGAAGCCTATGCAATTCAAGTTGAAGATCCAAGCTCAAGCTTCATCCACAGAGTGTACCAAGTCAAGCTTATTGAAGATCAAGATTGCTTGGGTAATCTAGTTTAGGTTTTATGTTATGTGTGTTAAGTACCTTAAGCTCAATATCATATACACACACGTATTTGGTTTCTATGTATATATATAGTTATATATATACATGCATGGTTTTGGGTTTTCATGTTTTGGACATACTTGCAAAATACATGAGTTTTCACAAATGGAAATTTAATTTGAGAAATTTTTTTCTAACATGTTTTTTTTCATGTTTATAAACATTTTGCAAAGTTTCATCAAGTTTGGAATTGATTTGTTATGTTTAATGGAATTTACAAAATCATGTTTTTGTTCGTGCACATGTTCGTGTATGTTTTACAAAACAGATGAGTTTTCATAAATGGTAAGTGATATTCAATAAATTCTTTCTTTGACATGTTTATCTACATGTTTAAAAACTTTCCTCAAATTTTTACTATTTTTGGAGTTGATTTACTGTGCCCAATTGATTTTACAAAATCGTGGAGTTGATTTACTGTGCCCAATTGATTTTACAAAATCGTGTATGTCAGCAGATTTTCAGAAACTGTATTTCTGTGTTCAAAATTGATTTTACAAAATCGTGTATGTCAGCAGATTTTCAGAAACTGTATTTCTGTGTTCAAACATTTATTTTTCTCAACTGGGAAATTCTTTTTCAGAAATTCTTTCTCTAACATGTCATTATACATGTCTAGAACCTTTCCACAAAATTTCATAATTTTTGGAACTGATTTACTATTTTTAATTGATTTTACATAGTCAGATACGCATATTTCCAGAATGCTGGAATTTGGGGTATTTTGGTCTTTTCAGCCTATAACGGCTAGTAACGGCTAGTTTTTGATATTTTTGGTTTTTGGGGGTTTGTGGCTGATTTAAGAGGCTGCTATAAAAAGCCCTCAACTTTCATTGTTTCTTATGGATGTTTAAGAGAGTTTTAAAAAGAGTTTTACAAGTTTGTTGAAGGGTTTTTAAGTTTGTTTCAAGAGTTTGTTTGTGAAGAAAATTCCACAAGAGCTTGAGGAGATCATCTATTGAAGTTTGAGCTTCCAACTATTCTCCCTCCACCTCTTGATCTATTGAGAAGTTTTCTAAACTCTTATCTAGCTTTACATTTGCTTAGTTATTTGATTATCTTTCTTTAAAGCTAGTTTTTATATTGAGTTTAGATTTGATTATATTATCTCATTGTTACACACACCCACATTGAGCTTATTGTATTTGTATACATAGTATATTAGGGTTGTGAGAGATTGTAACATTGAGTTGTGCTTAATTGAGTTCTCATGAGCGGAGATGTAGGACGGAATGTCCGAACTCCGTGATCATATAGTGTGTTTGAGTGTGCTTTGGCGTTCATTTATATTTATGTTCATATCTTATATCGCCATTGTCCATAGCTCATTATTTATATGATTAACTATTTAGTTCATTTTGTTTACCCTTGTGTTAGTTTACATATCCTTGCATATATTATATTGTATATCTTTTAATTGGCATTTAA